AAATTCTCTCCTGATGATATTCAAAACTATGGATATTTTAGGATAATATTAAGAGTCCTTTAAAATTATTTAGCCAACTATTAAAATTTTTTTAAATTAAAGTATAGTCAGTTTACACTATTGTGTCAATTTCTGATGTATAGCATATTATTTCGGTCATACATATACATATATATGTTCCTTTTCATATTCTTTTTCATTACAAGTTATTATAAGATATTGAATATAGTTCTCTGTGCCATACAGTATACTCATGTTTATGTATTTTATATATAGTAGTTAGTATCTGCAAATCTCACACTCTCAGTTTATCCCTTCTCACCCCCTTTCCCCTCTGGTAACCATGTTTGTTTTCTGTGTCTGTGAGTTGGTTTCTGTTTTGTAAATAAGTTCATTTGTGTCTTCTTTTAAGGTTCCACATGTAAGTGATATCATATGGCATTTTTCTTTCTCTTTCTGGCTTACTTCACTTAGTACGACAATCTCTAGTTCCATCCATGTTGCTGCAAATGGCATTATTTTATTCCTTTTTATGGTTGAGTAGTATTCCATTGTGTGTGTGTGTGTGTGTGTGTGTGTGTGTGTGTGTGTGTGTGTACACATACCACAACTTCTTTATCCAGTTATCTGTCAATGGACACTTAGATTGCTTCCATATCTTGGCTATTGTATATAATGCTGCTGTGAACATTGGGGTGCATATATCTTTTTGAATTAGAGTTCCCTCCAGATATATGCCCAGGAGTTTGGTAATTGCTGGATCATATGATAAATCTATTTTTAGTTTTTTAAGGAATCTCATACTGTTTTCTACAATGGCTGCACTAAACTCCATTCCCACCAACAGTATAGGAAGGTTCCCTTTTCTCCACATCCTCTTCAGCATTTATTGTTTGTGGACTCTTTAATGATGGCCATTCTGTTAGTCAACTATTAATAAAAACACACATATAGCCCAATAAAACCAGGGATAATTCACAACTCTTGGCTAGGCCTTACCTGAACCTCATAATTACAATATGCTGGAAATTTCAAGACCCCAAGAAACAGACTAATTAAGAATTTGTATTGTTCATTTACTCTTTATAAAATATCATGCTAAGCAATATTTAGATATTTCCTGCACTGCTTCCACTTCTTTGCCTCAAGGTCAGATTCTACAATGATCTGAATCATCTGGGCCTTGAGCTGGCATTGCTGGCATTGAATTGGGGACAGATGCTCATTCCTTGCAGCCAAAATTGTCTGCCTGTCTGGAAAGATTTATCTCACTGGGGGATGATGTCAGAGTATTTTTGGTCCTGAAAGATATTTACCTAAAGCAAAATCTCGTTGATTAATTTTGATTATGTCAATGACAATACCATTATATATGCAACTGAACAATTCTTGAGATGTCTGGCCTGTATTCAACAGTGTATCCTGAATTTCTACTCCAAATTTGTGTTACTGATAGTTGCTATCAGCCTGAATTTCAGCAGTTTCGTGAAAGGGAGCCATGTGGACAGAAATTCAGGACAATTTTGTGATTCATATGCCAGATCTCAAATTCTAATTGTGTCTTTTTTTTGATAGCACAGTTTCCTTTTGGGTCTGTGAAATTAAGTTCCTTTTATAACCAAGCTGCACAAATAGTAGAGATACTTGGTAATTTAAATGCATCTTGAGGATTCTACACCAAAAACAGCTGCAGAAACTTAAAGTATGGTTCATATATTCATCAAAATACGTGGCTTCTGAAATTTGGACTTTATTTCTACCAAAATAGTTCAGCAACTCCTCAAAATCCATAATTCCATTAGGCTCAGAGCAGTTGCCATGAACTCAGTTCACATGGCTGGTTTGGGTCTGAGATCTTCACTTCCTGAAACAAGAGCCCTTCCTTTCCCCTGTGGTTTCGAGCTCAGTATATTCAGATGTTTCATCAGACCAGCAGGAAAGCCAGCCTCTTGGGCCCCTGCATGTTGAGCAAGCTGGGCCTCTGAGAGCCCCTTCATTCCCCAAAGTCCATGACCTCAAAATATCTCTTTAACAAGTCCCCATAACCCAGCCTTCTGACTTCATTAAAATAAATCCAAACTGTACACACTGCTTTATTTTTGTCCAACCTGGTGATGGTTAAGAGCACAAGTACAAATAATGTTGATGACTGTAACTCCATTCTTACACCAGGAAAAGAATCTTTCTTACACAAGTCAAGTCACAAATTTGTCTGATGAATGATGCAAGGAGCATCAGACTTCTCCTTTGTTTTAAATTAGGACTGAGGCATCCCCTCCTCCTCTTTCATTAAGGTACCCCACGTATAGTAAATATCCTTGTTTGTACCAGACTTCTCAAATTCCTTATTGGCAGAGATAGCCCTTGAAAAGGTCTGTGTTCTAGCTAATCAGAGGCAGTTAGGTCATCTACTCTATAGCATTCCAGTCTATACATTTGGCATGAGGATTGTACATCTTACATTTAAAACAAAATAAATATTTTTACATTGTTTGTTGTTTAAGTGTGTGTGTATCACAGGGGTTTTCAAACTTTTTTTTTTTTACATCTGCAAGTTCAATATGTAAAGGAAATAAAAGAGAATCCAGATGTACTAAAAGGGGGTTGAGACACAAAATCCCCAGGCCTGTTTGAAGCCCATTTTGATGCATAGTCAATTTTTGTGACTTAGTCCATAGGTATATGATAAGAAGATATATTCTTATTCTCATATATATTTATATAAACTTATACATATTCTCATATGTTCGTAAGTACTTATAAATATATATGTATGTATATAATCTACCTTATTAATCATGTTATTTAAGTCTTCTCTACCTTATTTTATTACTTTTTACGATGTGATTAGTCATGGTTTCTGTTGATTTCTTCTTGAATTTCCTGCAGTTTTTGCTTTATAAATTTGAATGCTGTGTATCTGTATTGATGTTTGTAAGCATGAGATCTTAATTTTTCAGTTCATGCTTTATAGTTATAAATGAACAGTCTCTGTCTTTGTCTTTGTCTCAGTTAATGCTTTTTCCCTAAATTAATCTTTGAGATTTAATTTTGATCTTGGCTTCAACTGCTTGGTATGCCTTTGTCTATTTTTGTTTTAAATCACTTTGTTTTCATTATCTTATGTATATGGCATATAGTTGGGGCTTGATTTGATAGTCCATCTGAGAAAAATTTTCAATTAATTGGTAAGTTTAATCTTTTTACATCTATTGAAACAAAAATTATATTTTATTTTAGTCTGTCATTTTTTTGTTATGCTTTTGGCTTCCATAGCATTTAATTGTTTGTCACTATTTGGCCTGTTTATGCTTTGTGTATGCATGTTTTTTGAATTTGAAAGGCATGTATTTTTTCCAGTGGATGTATTAATAACTTTATAACCATTTTTCAGGTATTATTCAAAGCAGGGAGCAATATATTTCCTGTTCCTCATCTCCTCATTCTCTAACTATAAAATTTTATTGTAATGTTTACCTTATTTCTTTTCTCTTTCAGCTTCTTTTGGTTACTTCACAGCTATATTGCCAAGATTTATAAACTTTACTCTCTGTTCTATGACCATAATTCTCACATTTGCTTTAGACTTAATTCTACAGATAAATGGACTCAAGGATCATTGCCAGCTATTTTTTTCTAAATTCATGGTTGGCAAAAATTCATCCTCTACTAATGTCCTATAAAAGGGCTCATGAAAACCATATTGCTCATGTATTCAAAAATGTTGCCTATTACATTTGTACTTGAACAAGTTTCTCTAGTATAAAATTCTTGGGTATAAAAATCTTTTGGCTCAGATTTTGATGATTTTTTCACCTTGTAGATTTCTTGATCATTTTAATCTAGCTACCCAAAGAATTTTTGTTAGCTTTGAAATCCATTAGCTTTATTATGGTAGGTCTTAGTTTGACTGTTCTGTGCCATTTTTTTTCTTTGGGATATTTTATACCCCTTCTATCTATAGATTTAGGTCTTCTTATATTCCTGAAAAGTCTCTCAAAATATTTATCTAAGTTTTTTTTCTCTCTGAATATTGAGATTATTTTCTTGGTTTTCTTTCTTAGTTATGCATATATCGAATTTCTTTGGTCTCTCTAGCATTTACATTATTTTCTCACTAATCCTTTTAAATAGTTCATTCATTTCTATTTCATCTTGTTTGCTTTTCTCAATACGGTATTCTTTGAGTCTTTAAAAATATTTTATTTTTTGTTGTTTTTCTTTAATAAGTATTTATTCTCCTTTGTGCTCTTTCCCAGTCTGCCTTCATTTTTTGAGAGTTTAATTTTGTTTTCCTCCCACTTCTTTCAATTCATGTTTGAACTTCTTCTGTGGTTTTGCTTTATTTTTAAAAATTTCAAGTGAAGAGAGTTAAGAAAGTTGAGTTAATTATAGTCATCAGCGCATGTCACATTAACATAACTGACTCATGCAAGGCCAGTCTTATTTATTTCTTCCTTTTTATTCCTGTTCCTAACCCCCACAGGCAAGCACTCACGTGTGTGAAATGTATGTCTTTTAATGTGTTTTTGTTAAATGTGTATTGTTTTTATGTATATACTTTTAAATGAACAGACGTGGTAATGATTATATATATCTATTCTTTTTTCAATTAATGTCATGTTTTTAAGATCCAGCCATGTGGCTTCGTGGCCCTCTAGTCAGTTGCTTCTAATGTGACATAAAACTCCATGGTGTGTATTTATAACGTTTTACTTACTCTCCTGGTGATGGACATGAGTGCTTCCGGCTCCCTGCCACCACAAATGACCTGGTGTCTTAGCCCATCCCGGTTGCTATAACATAATGCCATAGTCTGGGTAGCTTATGAACAACAGACGTTTCAAAGATCCTCTTCCAAGCTGCACCCTTAACTTTAAAAATTTATGGCTATGCATTTGGTTAAAAATTTCTTTCACTTAATGGCAGCCTTCTTTTAAAAGAGAATTTTAATTTGCCTTTTCCCCCCTATTCCCTGCTTTTTTTGTTCTTATGGTAAGAATGTATGTATGCTGGTTCCTTTTGGATTGATCACTCATCTTTGAAGAAGTTTCCAAGATGCGTAACTTACAAAAGGTTTGTGCTGAGGAGGGGCCTGGACCACGTGCCAGCCTAACAGGAATTCTCCCCGTGGCACAAAAGTGTAGGGGGCTTCCTTTTGCTTCTGCTTCTAAGATAAACTGGGGTTTCAGGGCTGCTCACATTGCAGGGTCCATCTTTTCTGTCTTGCCTCACTGACAGAATGCTTCCTGCATATATCACATGTCTGAATGATTCCTCCTCCAGCTGTGTCTTCCCTCCTTCTCTTTCAAATAAATCAGGTTGAGGGGAGGCATAGCTGCCAACACACATACTTGGTTCCCTTGTTTCCAGTGAAGGATTCTTGGTTTTGCCCCGAAGTTAAGTGTCGAAGTGTATTTTGTGGACGTCTTCTGAAATCTACAGTCGTCGACATCTTTCATCAGAGTCACTGTAGCTCCGTGTAGATTGTAGTTCAGGGTTTCTGGTGTCTCCTGTTTACAGGACAAATGGATTTTGCATGTTTGCATGTCACTGACTTTGCTGCTGGGTAATTTCTGAGAGTAGGGCCTGCGCTAAACAAACACCTCACGTGATTCTGATGCTGGTGGTTCACCAACGACAGCCACTCAATAGAATTAACTGACCAGTCCACAAGGGCACCGGCATTTGTATGAGGTCTTTTGGTATATGTAATAGAAAAGATACTGCTTTTATAAATAAGAGTGGCTGAGCTAACATAAGTAGCACAGAGAAGGGACTGAGACAGGGATGTTTTCTTTGGAGAATGGAGAAACTTTTTTTTTTTCCTATCTCAGAAATACTTTGTGCTCTGTTCAATTGAGTGGCATTTAGCACACAAATGATATCCAATAAATACTGATGAATGGCGACATCAAAATAGAGCAAAGTTTAATAGAAAAAAGTCTCAGATGTCCCCGAAGTGACCCAAGAAATTCAAGTTACCTATAGTTTATGAGACCAACCAGGAAAGTTCCCTTAGGGTCAACGTAACCATATGGTAGATTATTTATTAATTTATGGATGTGTTAGACACAGTGCCTGTAACTTCTCTCCTCTTCCGACCCCCAGTATTCTTTGTGGCAGACCACTAGTTCTGCATTCTCGGGCAGATGACTTTCCATGTAACGACTCCATTTCCCAGCCTCATAGCCATGCTTGGCCATGTGAAAAAGTTCTCATGAAGTAATGAATTCTACTTTATTTTTCTTCATAGCGTGCCTCACTACTTCACATATTATTATGTATCTATTCCGGTATTGACTGTCTCTGCTAGAATGCAAGAGCCATAAAGGCCAGGACAGTGTCTTATTCTCTGTCATATCTCCAGGATCTAAATCAGCACTTGGCAAGTAAGGGACACTCAGTAAATAAGGGAAGAGATGCCCAAAAGGATTACTGTGAAGGCGTAGGGATTATGAGATATTACAGGACATGTGGGTTCCCAGTATTCCTATAATGAGGATGACTAATAGGACTTGTAAAGGATAGTTTATCCTGATTTGAGCTTGAATAATCACTTAGTTGAGCTTGAATAATCACTCTCCCTGTGTACGCTTATTTTCAAATTCATATGTGCAAAGAGAAGGGAATTGACTGGGTTTATTTCACTCAACAGGATGGAGGATCCCTGTTGGGACCCCTGTTATTGAAGGCTGACCTTCCTCACATCCAATCTCACCACCCAGGGTTGCTTTTGGCTCAGGCAGCGATGCAGGTCCAATTATTAATGGTCGGCATGGCATGGTTGGTTTCTCTTAATTGTATAATAGCGTGAGTCACAGCAACATTGTGCAGAACGACCATCTATCCTCGCAAGAATGTGGTGACTATTGCTGGCACTCCCATACTTTCAAAGCCAATATTGTCCTTTCAAAACAGCTGCTTCAGGATGTTGTCTGTATATATTACATTTGCTGCAAATGTATTTGAAAGCGTTTCTTAGATGTCCTGTTTTGAATCGCCTCATCTTTCTGAATCTGTTTCCTCACTTGTGAAAATCGGTGGTGAGGGGAGATGACTTAAAGCTCTCCTCTAGCTCCAATATTTTATGACTGTAATTATTTTCAGAACTTTCATAGCATGGTTGTGAACATTCCCCATTATATCAAACATCGTCTCTTTGAATGTAGATTTGATTTTTTGGAACAGATAAAATTTATCGGAGCCAAATCTTTTAAGACGATGTACGACAAAGGTAGATGGGACTGTTTTGAAAGCTTGGAATTATCGTGCTAGCCTTTATTTCTGTATATTCATTTGTAAGTGGCAGAAAACTCAACACAAATTGGCTGAAGCAAAGAGAAAATTACTGGCTCATATAACTAAAATGTTCAGGGTCTCCGGCTTCAGTGACAGCTGGATCCAGGAACCATGCCTGGTTTTCTTATCTCTCAGATTTGCCTTCTGCCTGTTAGCTTCATCCTTAGGCATGTTCTCCTTTCGGTGGCAAGATCGCTGCCAGCAGCCTCAGGCTTACATTTGATCTTCTCAGCAATCCTCACAGAGAGGAAGTTTCCCAGAGTCCCAGACTGGATTTTAATTGGCCCTGCTTGAATCATTTGCTTATCATGAACTAATCACAGAGACCAGGACGATTCTCCGACTGCCTGGGTCACATGCTCACCCTTGAAGTTCCATTTGAGTTAGTGGACTGAACATGGTGGAAGGGTATTTCCCCAGATAAAATCATTGTGCTGATCTTGAAAAGGTGTAATGGATGCTGAACATGAGAGAGAACCCTTCTTTCTCATAACTTGCTGCATGTGACAAATTCATTCCTTGAAATATTTCCCTTTTCCTGGTTTTGCTGCAGTGTAGGCACTCACTAGCTCATAGCAACCTCCTATTTAATCTCCTTGCCTGAGCCATCTCCCCCCCACCCCCCGCCACCCACATACTTTCTAGGCATGGCCACCTCATTACTACAGCACTGGTTTGATCATTTTACTCTCCAGCTCAAAATCTTTCAGGAACTCTCTTCTGACTCCCAAATTCCATGTTCTTCAGTCTGGCATTGAAGATCTTCCACAGTCTGGCTCTCACATATATTTCCAGGCTTCCCTCTCTGCCTGCACTTGTCCCAGGTGCATTGCTCACCCACATGTTTTCCTCTATTTGTATGTTCTGCCCCAGCACCCCATTTCTCTCATCCTAAGTCTGACATCGGATGATGAGCCAGATACTGCTGCTTGTCTCCAATATCTGTTCTCTTCTTCTTTATTATTAGAACCGTTGATATCTAGCTGGGCATGTGGCCACTCAACAGAGATTACATGTTTGACCGTCACTTGTAGTTAAGTTCTGACCAATAAGATGTAAGTGCAGTGATGTATACAACATCTGCAAGTCGTCTTTCTGCTAGCTGGAATAAGGATGTGATGGCTGGAGCTTGAGCAGCCTACCTGATGGTAGAAGGTGCATCTTCAGGATGGTGAAGCCACATGATGTAAGGAGCCTGTGTCCCTGTTGATCAGAAAGCCACCATATCAACTCTGCACTGCCTACAGTTACATGAGAGGAATACACTATTTTGTTTACACTACTGTTATTTTGAGTTTGTAGCTGCAACAGAAACCAATCTTTCCATGAAAATATATTATTTAGGAAACTTTTCTGGTGACCAATAACAGGAATGCTTTCGAAGTCAAGCAAAACGGGGTAATTATTTTAAGGATACAAGGATGTCTCCCAGCACCTACGAGCAGGGATGAAGGAAGACGTGGGAATAGACTGGAACCTGGGACTGAAACATTGAGGGAAAGCTAGGAGATCATGTCATTGTCTCATCTCTCCTCCCTTCCCTCTTACTGCAGATGATTTACGTATAGAGAAGCAAAAAATAAACATTTGTTTAATGAACGGCCATTTATGTGTCTGTGATACAAACCTGATCCGAGGCCAATTCTCAAAACATTTCCTTATATGTAGATGGCTTGTTAAAGCAACTTTCTTGCAGGGAATCATGTATCTCGGAGTCTAAGCCCTTCTGTCAGCCCCTTCTCTCAGGCCTCTGGTTTGTTCAGTTGCTTATTCCCACATCAGAAAAAAGGGTCCGAAATGCGGAGTTGTCCTTACTTGATCTCATGAAAGACACTTTAGAGATAGCTCTGCTTTAATGGCAGTTGTGAAAGCAAATTTTTATGGGACGCAAGCCCTGGCCCACAACTATTTTGCTAGCCAAGGAAATAACAGATTATTTTTGGTACATTTTTCCCTAGCCAGCTTTTTTGTGTGTTTGATTTTTGCATTGTTATCATTTACTGCCTGTGTTCTTGCTTTTACCTAGTTTTGCCCTGAGGGTTTCTTATGTTCTTGTCAGCTTACTATTTGATAAGATGTTTTATATGTTTAATCTAGCACTTTGAGTTGCTTTTGGTGGGGGAATCAGCCAATCTCTAGTCTGCCATACTGCTGGTCACAAAGTCCAGCATGCTTTTTAAAGAGTTTTAACTTCATTTGTTTGTATGATATTACCCTGCATTCTGAAGACCAAGGCCCTAACTCTGGTGGTCCAAGATCCCCCTCTGTAAAGATGAAGAGACACTACCTCCACCTATGTCAAATTGTTTTGTTTTTTTTTTTTTTTGGTTAAAGGACTTGTGTGATCATTAATCTGGAGTCAGTTTGAAACTGGAAAGTACCATGAAAATATACAACGTTTTCTGAACTTGAAAAACAAAACAGAGGCAAACAAGCAATAAAAGTTGAAGCTAAGGCTAACAACCTTAGAATGATTTGTTCAGTTACACATTTTTAGATAGTTGCACTCATTTCCTTTGTTTTCTGGCCCCAGGTATGGATAGGGAAGTTTGAAAATTAAGAAATATATTATTTGATGTGTGGTATTTGACATCAATTATATAACTTATCTTTCAGTGAAAGAGAAAGAAGGCAAATTTGAGCACACTATAAAATCCATCCTCACGCTTTTTAAGTGCGTGAAGTGTCTGTCCCTTTAGTATACAGGTGAGCAATGTAATTTGGGATGTCACAGCACTTTATGTATTTTGCAGGCTGAGATTCTGAATGTCTACCATTCTGTAGTGTATTTTGGTCTCTGTGCTGCGAGGAAGCATGACTGGTAATGACTCAGATAGCTCTTCTCATTCTCAAACTGTGTTAGCGGGTTAAGTCTGTGAGAAGAGGCACCTCTAAGCCCGTTCCAAAGAGCCTTGTGGGTGACAGGTGATTTGCAAATGGACCAACATGGGACTCAGGCACACGGCTATTGCTTACTATTTCCTGCAGATGCACGACGTAGAACCCAGCATAGGACCTGTCCTCTAAACATGTATATACCAAGACAGTGTATCTGGATGTATGTCATTCACTCAGTCTGCAGCTGGAGAAGCCAGTCCCTCCTACATGTCAGGCCTTGTGCCTACTCTCAAAAACTTCATAGGAAAATGGGCTAAACCACAATTACCATTCAATGTGATCAGTGCTAGAATGAGATAGTGCTACGGGAGCACAGTGAGGGGCACTGGCCCACACTGGGGTGGAACAGGGCTGGGTGGCCAGGATCAGGGAAGGCTCACAATGGAGTTGATGCCCAGACAGAATAATGAAGGATTAGCAAGAATGAGCTAGGGAAGGAAAAGGCGGAGGGTCAGGGCATAACAAGAAAAAGGAGCAGCACACGTGAGGACAACACATGAGTATGGCAGGACTGGAAAACACAAGGTAGTCTGCTGTATGTTGAGTTTATTCATTGCACTTAGTTGTTACTGACATATTTGTCTTCTTCACTATGTTTGAATCCTTGGATGATGGAGATTGTGTGTAATGGTTTCTCTGGTCCCATGTCAACCAATAGGCACATGGATAGAGCACGATAAATGTTTGATGAATGAATGACATGGTGGAAGGACATGTCTAGTCGCAGTGAATAAGAGATGGGATAGATCTAGAATTTGGGGGGAATTAGAATGGACAGGAGATATAATGGAGGTGGAGTATAAAAGAGTAATGACTTTCTAGGTTTCTGTTTGGATTCTAGGTGGATGGTAATAATAATAATGTTATTAATAATAGGTAATATTCATGAGGCACTGTGTCAAGAAGTAGACTAAATATTTTACATGTATTAAACCATTTATCTCTTAATGGCTTAGGTAGGTAGTCTTATTATCCTCATTTACTAGGATTATTAGGGATCAACTCACCCGAGGGCACTGACACAGCTAGCAGGTGCCAGACTCAAACCCAGGAATTCTGTCTGATTTCTATACTATAGCAGACACATAACCTACTCTTCTTTACTGCCTCTAATTGGTAAGATCAATGTACAGAGTGCTGGTCCTATTCAATATATATAATCACATAAATTGCATGCATCTCTTATCAGAGACACACACTATGATGTGTCTGCCTCTTTTTGATCAGATTTTCGGGAGCTTGGTTTGTATTATCACTTTTCCTCTCTGGAAGACCCACTTCCTGGGTGGAAGTGTCATAAAAGAGTTGACACAAAAGACGAGAGAAGGCAGGTACAGAAACGACATTCTCGAATGCTCCAGCAGCTGCTGGAATGCTGGGATCCAGGTTCCATCAGACTCCTCCTTCCATCCATCCCCGAGAGACCCCCCCCCCCACACACATACACACACACGCACAAACGTTGTAAGGTACACATGGACGCCGAGGCTCAGGCTGGTTCTAGAGGTCCTCAGTTCACATCGGAGGTTCCTTGTCCGACTCCTGGGGAGCCCAACAGACTCGAAGTGAACCCGAGACCGCCTGTGGAGCGCAGGGTAACAAGGCCCCGCGCCGGCTCGCGCTGGTTCCCAGGGAAACCGCCCGCAGAGGCACCTGGGGCCCCCGCCGGGCACCTGCGAAGAGCCCCGCC